TAAAGCAGGGCGATCCACCAGCGGAGCTTTTTTCTCTCTCCTGCTTCCTCTATTGTTTCGAGACCCGATTAACTTGTTTTCATAACTCTACGTAAAGATTAAAACACTGCTGGTGCACGTTTACACAAAAACTAACCTCGATTATTTCAAATATCCAACATATAATTTCCCCTTCTCTGCAGTATTCCCTTTGATTCACGCTTGACTCATAAGGCTTCAGGGCCAATGGGGGTCCGCCTTCTAGGGCGCCTTGAAACCGTCCCATTTATCCCCTTTCATCATCTAAACCGGGATGCCTTAAAACCGTTGGGCCAGTTATTGCCTTTTTTTTTTCCCGGACAGCCCAATGCGGACTGGCCAACAGCCAATCAGAATCATGTTTACATTCTGTGACTGACAATGCTCTGGCAGGGTGCCAACCAATCAGATCTTTACATACAAAGTGGATTCATTTGTAAACATTTAGAATAATGCAATAACCAAAGTCCGAGCATAACGTGAGCTATTGGGGTTGCTGTCCTGTCTTCATGATTCAGTCCAGGGTGTAAATGAATTAGGTTTTAAGCAATTTATCAAATAGCCTTTAATGGAAAAAAACACACCATAAAACACGAGTGGGGGCTTCTTAATCTGCATGAATTGCAAACAAATGCAGGTTTAAAAAAACCTGTGTGTGTGTGTGTGTGTGTGGAGGGGGGGGGGGGGTTCTGAAAAGCACACATATTTTTTTAAGGAAGCCAAACATTTCTACATGATTTATTTAGTTCCACTCTTTAAATAAACTGTAATGATTCTGATTTTGACATTTCAATGTTTGTTTCTTATCATTATGATTCATTATCATTACAAATTATATTTGTGTGAGACTTAAAACATGTAAATTCCACAACTTGGGAACACCATTTTACCCAACTTTTAGGCTTAAATGTTGATCTTATTTTTATTCTTTTGCTAAACGTTTCTCTGTAATTTTGAAAGCACTGAACTGAATTGGATTGCTTTAAAATGAATTACACTTTTAGGGGGGGGTTGCATTAATTCTAAAATGAATGAAAAAATCCTAATCTTTTGATCGTTTTCAGGATGTGCTCGGGCTTAAAACTGCTGGACGATATCGACAGAGTGGGAACAATGCCTCCTTTTCTCTGCACCAGCCTTAAGTCTAAATGTTTTTTACTGATTACGTGAAAAGGCTTTATGGCATCTAACATAATATTACCTGTCATTTTAATCATTTCGTCTTTGTTTTACCTTTATATCATCCGGTTGTAGGTGAATTTAATCTCCTTTGCGGTTAAAGCTTTCTCTCGGGCTCACTGAGCTCCATTGTGAGGGATCTGACGGTCTCGTGCTTTAAATTTCGCGCTTCTTCCTCTGTTTAGCCTCGCCAGTCAGAGCGCCATTGGCCTGTGCTCTCGACCAATCAGCGCCCGCCGTATCTGCGGACAGGCGGCACGAGCCCATTAGCATGCAGGTATCCGACCAATGGGAGGCCGTGTTTACCCTGCCCCCGGGACTGGAGGTACGCAGTTGCATCGGGAGAGAAACCGCTGCTCGGAGATCCGAGCCGCAATCCAGTCAGGCCGGAAGCCCCGGTCCCACTGGCCTCTGCTCCCCCAGACCGAAGCAGCAGACTACTGCACAGCCTCACATGGAAATATTGTAGGATTTTACTCTAGCCACATGGTTAATCTGAACATTTTGATTTTAAATGGGCGACGTACTTGCACCTTCTCTCCCAGAGTTTTGTGATTTTATAATGTATTGTTATGCAAGGATTTAACACACCAGTAAGTAGTAATTTTCATATATCTAATACTTTTTTTATTTAATAAAAGAAAAAAAAATAGGGTCCGATTTCTGGTTGTTGCTGTTTTAATAAAAATGCTCGATATGACACGTTACACACAGAGCGTTGCAATAATTTTCTAAATAACAAAACAGGATGTATGAGGTGTATCCTGTGGAATAAATCATTGCCTTCATAAACTGTCATAAGCTTACACGACACAAGTAAGCTATTATGATAGTAATTGTCATCACCATGACAATTAATATTATTATTTAATGTCAAGACTTTTGTAGTCATAGTCATTTTTCTTTATACTGATCAACAACTTGATCTCGAATCCCAAATATTTTTTAGAGAGGTGCCTTTTTTTGAAAATCGTTTTTAGTATTTTCTAATTACGAATTTATATATATATATTTATATATATATATATATATGTGTGTGTGTGTGTGTTTATATTATTATTGGTATTTTGCAAGCGTTTCTGTGGTGCATGCTGTAAATGCGTCTAATTCCTGGAGGACTATTTAAACTTAGACGGGGGACGTGTCCCTCCTCGCCCCGGCCGTGGGGCTTTCACAGCCGGCCGGCGCGGTCCTGGAGAGCCGCTCCGCTGCACGGTCCGACCCTCCCAGCACCATTTGATTTATCGGCTGCCTTTCTCATGTCGACGGGCTTCTGCAAACGCAATTGGCAGCCACTTGAATTTCGTTCTTTGCGTCGATCCTGTGAATTTTATATTTTTTAAAAAGAAAATCTAGCGCGTCATGAATGGACAATTTAGGCTGAAATAAAAGAAAAAACCCCGTGCACGTTTACGCCATTTCTAGTAAATGCCTGTAAATGTACATATCGCCCATTAACCAAGCTGCTGCGTCTATTAAAGCCTGTATATGCAACAGCAATTTTAGATCCGAGGTGGGCACAGAGTGAGGGCTGGATGGAACAGCATGGCGAGGGGAAGGTAATGGCCGACTGCAAAGCGTTTTCTCAGTATGTAGACAAAGGCAGTCCTCCTGATGGGCGGCCATTCACCTTGGATCCCCTCACAGTCCACACACAGTCCGAATATTTGACGATTTCTAGATGCAGCAGCGAGGACTTTGAAGCGTTTTCACCTCCCAGCACATGCATCCACATGTTAAATCAAGAAACCTGTGTTGATACTGATTTTTTTTTTCTTCCTGGGACCTCAGTGATTTTATTGTTGATGTTGCTCTGAATTGTTGGCTGTAGGCTGTAACTGGCTACATGGGGAGATAATGGGACTGAAAGTGAAATAGCCTTTAAGATAACAACATGCCTGCTCATATTTGTTGCCGATATAAATCTGATATAGATATATATATATATATATATATATATATATATATATATTGAAATATATATTTAAATTATTCAATTTGTGGTGACACAATAAGTTTGGGTGACGACTTCCTTCTCAGTCCCTTAGAATAACCATATACGACCACAGATGGAGAATCTATGAAATATAAAACCTAAATTGTAGTTATTCATGAAAAAAAAAAATGGAAATGTCAAATAAGCTGCCTGCCAGGTTCTTATAACCGTTAGCAGCTTTCACCTTTAGATGATATTTGAAAAGTTTCACAGCACATATGGACATCTTAACAATTTAATGTAATTTCAATGCAAATGGACGAATTGTGCGTTTTTGTCCATTTTGATTCCACAGTGTTCTTTTGTTGTATGGCAGAGCACATTGCCTACAATGTATTTACTACTCCGTTTGATTACCTGACCTGAAATAGGTCAAGGCAGAAGAAGACAGTGAGAGTGCAGTTATTCATATGACCCCCCCCCCCCCCCACACACACACACACACCCCACACCCCCTTCCAACACACACACAAACACTTACTCACAAGGGGGCGCGCACACGTGCAAATGTGCACGCCTGCACACACGCACACACACACACACACACACACAAACACAAACATGAAGAGGGAGGGAGAAGGAGACGGCCCCTGCCTTTCAGGAGCTGCTGCATCTCTGTTATGAAGCAGTATTTTAGGGGATATTTTGATTTTAAACATCTCGCCTCTCACTGTGTGACACATGTCCAAAGTTTATGGTTATGGACCACACTAACCCAGAATCTTCCAAAAACCACGTGAAAACACGTCTGTGTATCACACGTTATGAGGATGTTTTCCCCTTTCAATTTCCAATTCAGTTGCAGGCTGTATTTTATTCTATAAACGTTTTTTTTTTAGTGTGTGCGTGTGATTTACGCCAAGGTGCTTTTAGTGAGAAATGTGAAAACGGTGTGGGCTGTGGAGAGAGCTGGATGGAGATGACAGAGGCAGAAAAACGCCTGCATCAAATCCGAGACAATAGGACGAGCAGCAGAAGGACGGCAGCGTTGTTCACCTTGGGATGTAGGCTGCGTATAGACTTTCACCATTTTATTAGGGGGAAAAAAAGAATAACAAACAGCTCATCCAACAAAACTAAAACGTGTTATGACGTTTGCTGCCGGAATTGCGGATTACCCAAAATTAAGAAAAGAAAGGCAAGCTCGTTGCATCTTAATGTGCAATTTTGATTGAAGGGCAGATTCGTATGACGTGGTGTTGAATTTAATAGTCTGTGTGGGATAAAATATGATTAATATGAAAGGACAGGGTGTATGGGAGCATGTCACCGGGCTCGCTGTGTCTGTGTCTTTGAAAAATGAAGAGCTCCTCTCCATACAGGCCAATACTCCGGGCTTATCAATAGAGCCGGAGCTGAGCCCAGCTCACTGAGCTCCTGCACGCCGAATTGTATCTTCTCTATTAACTTTTTTTTTAGACAGCTTTCTGCAGAATGCAAAAATATGTTGACATGCATCAGAGAAAGAAAAAGACGCAATGAAGTGGCATTAAGTCGTTTTTCTTTCTCGTAGGTTTTTTTTATTTATTTGATCGGATCACATTTGTATCAGTAACTCTACAATACCAGGATTTTGCATAATGCTATTCTCATTCCAGCTCTGGTTTTTTCCCAGCAGAAACTGAACCGCTCTGAATTTCTCTTTTGACAGAAAAGATGATCGTGGGCTGTGCTTTTGGCTGGAGGAGCCTGCCGTCGACTGAATGCAACACATAGATTGCGAAGGGAAGGATTTTTTTATGGGTTGCATCTGATTTTTTGGCGATCCACCCGATCCGGATTTCGGATTAATTTAACATTCCTCGGAATGGAAGGACGGGATTTCGCCTCTCCGGCGCACCTCCTCTCGGAGCGGGGCGCCCTGGTGCACCGGGCCGCCTCCAGGATCGCTCCCTCCGGCCACAGCTCCGTGCAGCACGCCGGTCACTTCCCGCCGGGGAAATATTACCCCTCACACATACCAATGGCTCCCCACTCAGGTCAGTCAAACATCCACGGGGCTTTTTTTTTGTCCCACATCGATACCGCGATTGAAATGCTTTGGTGAGCAGATGGCTTTTGCTGTTTTGTTCCGAGTCTCGCATGCTCTCCATGTTGCACCGAAAAGCATCGCTATTTATCACCGGGAATAATAGACGGCAGGCGTGTGTGCGTATTGTTGTGCAAAGATGATTATTTTTTTTGCACTAAAGACAACAGTGGAGGGGTTTCCTCAGGTGTGGCTGTTGACATAAATTCGCCGCTCAAATATCCGCTGATAAATCAGGTGAAATTGAATTTACATTACGGCAGCGTTTAGGGCTTTTGATGAATCCGTCTCTTCATTTGTAATTTATAGATCTCAAAGGCAAGGAAGGCATCTATGTAAAGCAAATAGTCATTTAACGAGCAGATAGATGCCGTGATATTTAAAAAGAAAAGAAAAAAAGAGTAGATTTTAGCACTGATTTAGAATCCACGTTGGGAATTTCAGAAAGCATCCTGGAGCTGGATTCACTATCTCTCAAACTGAAATAGATTTAGTCCCTGTATATCAAATTGGTCTGTGTAACACTGGGGCCATCACTAAAGCAAAAACCCCGGGCCATACACAGACCCAAAAGAAAGGGAAGGATGGGTGGATGGCCAGGTGTGCTGAAGGCAGGTGAGCAGTCCCAGAAACCCTCCCTCTGTTTTTCAGCTTTGAAGTGTCAGAGTGCAAATGTGTTCACTCTGCATGCATCAGGTTTATCAAGTGACTTTAGAACCATAGAAACCCAAATTGGCACTTTTATGAATATGAAAACTCAGCGTTTACCATCCATCCTGAAGACCACTGAACAGAAGAGCCTTTATCTTTTTTTGTTGCATTATTTAATTTCCCTGGATTTGATTAAATATATTCTTTAAAAAGCTTTGTTTGGACAGTAAAGCCAAAATTCAGAAATGAAAATGCAATTATGTCACAAATGGTCAAGATACCCATTGTTCCTTTTGTATTGTCCACCCATGTAAATAAAAGAGAAGGCTGATAGAAAGGCACTGATTGTATCAAAGATTTCCAAAATGATTTACTTTTATAACTAGTTAAAGAAGATTAAATAAACCGTCTTTTCCCATGCTGCAAAAAGTCTTTGGTTGCTGCAAAGAAAAAGGATTTTAGTCATTTGAAATGTTTTTATCTGCTAAATCAACCCAAATGCATGGGTGCTCGGTGAGGCGTTCAGGCCACCAATAACAATGTCATCTGCTTGGTATTGCACAAAATTTCAGTAAATTGTTTGTTTATGTACTCTCTCAATATTTGATATTTCTCGCATAAGCAGAGTGGTGGTCGACGATATGTTTCAAAGTAATTGTGTTTGTAAAGATTTCAAATTAATTTGCAAAATCAAGCTAAACATTCAACATAATTAGTCATTCAGGAGAATTCACGGGTGCTGTTCGCCATTCATCTCTCACCATTCATGTTTGCTTTTGGCAGCACTCACAGTGCACAGACACACACACACACACACACACACACACGCACACACAGACAGACAGCCTGCATCCGTATGTGTGTGTGTGTGTGTGTGTGCCCCCCCCCCCAGTACAGATGTTTTGTTTGGAGTATGAAGGCTAATGCTGGCTACGGGGTACAGGTGCTCTCACCAATAAGATCTGGTGTTTCTTGTGTGGAACTGTGCGACAGCGACATGAAGACCTACCCTTCAAATGTCAGCACTGCTCAGTGAGCAGCACAGGTGGTTTATTGTTCTCAGTTTCATCAGAAAGGCAAGGGTGGGACCGCAGAGCCGTCTAATATCCTGGAGATGAAAATGATTTAATTCTTTACACTTTAGTTATTTGATTGAATAATTTGACATGACTCCAAATAATAAATACATTTCAAAATCTCCTTTTGGTCTCATCATGATTATTCTGTTATTGCACCAAGCTGATGGGCAATTTTTGATTTATGATTTTAATAATATTTGAAAATGTCAAGTATGCCATAATTGAACTAAACGCAGGAGACATGAAAGCTAATTCAAGATTATTTGAGTTTTCATTTTTAAGATGGTTCTTCATGAAAACATGTGATGCTTTCTGTAAAACCAGAAACCTCATAAAGTGCTCCCTTTTGGTAGTTTGTTGTAGTTCAAAATGTCTTTTATCAGGGCATTTAGTAGAAAACAGTTTGAAGCCAAGCTGTCGTTTTATTCGACCATTGAATATAAAGAGGTGCATGTTTTCTCGAAGGAATCAAATGGATTAGATTAAAAGAAGAAAGAAAACATTTTATTTTATTTTCATTCAAAAACTCACTTCTATTTGACAGTAATGTGATTGAATAATAAAGTGCAGCATTCCCCTGCCCTAAGATGATCAACTTAATGTTATTTTCAGACCAGTTCACCCGTATGTTTACGAGCAAGTTGAAGATTTTCTGACCAAACTGTACCAGGTCTGTTCATATTGACAGTGCAGGTCACTGGCATTCATCAAGTGACCTGTATGCTAGTGACATTATAGCACAACTGAGCGCGTTGTTTGCTGAATGTGTTCAGTTTCCCTGCACTTTTCTCTTGGGGACTAACTTGCACACTAGTTCACATGAATACTTTACAAAGAACATGAATATTTCAGCTCAGAAATGATCTTAGAAAATGCTTTGAAAGGCAGGTTTCTGGTGTGGCTCCTTGAAAGGACTTCTCTCCCCCTCTGACTTTGCAGAGGTATTTATTGTGAGTGCTTCCAACACCCTTGCTGCTAAAAAGAGTGATGTCACTTGCAACTCTCCTGGCATTGTTCCCACAAGGGTCTCAGAATTTCAACATATTTTGTGAGAGAATTTCCTCAAATTTCCAGACATACTTTTGTCTTCTGACCCACTGAACCAGTCAGTTGGGTTTCTTACAGCTTGCATTTGCCTCTGTCCATCTTCACCTACTACAAACCATTCATTTGTAACAGACGGTCGACTTATAGTTTAAACTTGCACTGTGTTCTTAGAATGTGGAACTGGATCAGCTTCTCTCCGCGTACACTCCGAAGGAGTGAGACACAGGCCTGTAAAAACACCTCATTCTGTTTAAATCCGCCAATTCATTTACAAGGGTGTTAAAATAAGAATTTAGTCTTTTTCTGGCACCGGCGCAGAATTTGAGACAGACCTCACTTGGCTGTGAGGCCAGGATTCAGATGTTGGATAGTGTCAGAGCAGGAGACACAGTGGAGCTGTCTTTACTGCTGGCATTTATTGCTTCGGGTTCATCTTTCAGCCATATTGTTCTGATCAGTACTCTTTGGCTGAGGTGTGGCCGTGTGGGAGCAGCGGGGGGTTCAGAGGCTGTCCATGGTTCAGCTCGGCTCTAAACACCCCATGTAATCAAAGGTCATATTTGTGTCATCTCGCTCACTCGGCGTCCCCTTCCTTTACATCTGCCCTTTCTCCTTTTCCATAAGCTCTCCTCTCTGTCTCTTCCCCTCCATTTTTCAGCTTCCTTTCTTTTCAGCAGGAAGACCCTTGTGTCTGGGAAGCGGTGGTCTTCCTGCCCCTTCTGTTTTAGCCACCCTCCCCTGCCTCTGGGCCATTGTTGCAGACCCTAGCTTTGTGTGCGTTTTACAGCTGCTGTTAAAGATAAAAAACAGGCTCTTCCACCCCCTTTATTGTTTACTGGTAGGATGTCCCTGTCATTCCCTTGGTTTTTATGTCCTAGCTGGATATCTGTGCAGCTCCCCCTTCAAAGGTTAGCTGTACTCCCTGGCTTCTCCCATTTTTTTCCCAAAGGAGAATAAATAACTTTACTGAGACTTTTATTGAATGTCTCATTGGTGAAATATCCCATGGTCTGTGGTCGTAGGGGAGACTCTTCAAAGACAAACACAGGTGTTTGGTGGGGTTAGAAAAAGGCTGGTTACAACCAGGGTCTTAAAAAACAAACCCCAGAGTGTGGGTGAGGGCCGTTCATGGGAAAGGAGACTTCTTACTCAAGGTCTCATTACTCTTGTATTGTAAGCACTTCGAGATTGTACCGTGCCCCTGTCTCCTCTAACCCTCCCACATACTCGATAACCCCAGACAAGAGGCAATAGTTGCAGTGTGCTTCACATTGGGTGTCATTATTGAGCTTCACAGCATGCAAACCGCTGAAGTCTGTCCTCGTATTTTCCCTTTTTTAAAATTGTGAATATGGGAAGAAAAGCTCAGAAGCGAGTCTGAGTGATGATAAATCTGGAACATTACATTAAAAGGCCACTCGTATACAGGAGCTCCACTTCTGGAAGAGCAGTGACAGAAGATGGGTTGTAAGCCAAGTTCCATTTGGCAATGGCTTTGTGCACTCCCCCCTTCTACTTTGCTATTGCAAAACAGCGAGAACCATGGCCTGTTGTTGGGCTCGTTTGTGGGTTGCTGTTAGATGACACAGTTCAGATTGGCTGTCACCAGAGTCCCCTCGAATTGTGGAGGTGTTGCTTGGCATCCTGCACCTGGCTGAAATAGCACCTTGCCCAGTGCTTCTGCCATCTGTCCCCTTCCCCTGACACTCCCCCTGGAAAGCCTAATGTACAGCCAGGGCGGTCAGTTGTCTCGGAAAGGGTAAGCCCCTTACATATTTGCAAATGGGGTTAAGACTAACATGTTTTGAGTGTATTCGTGCATCCATATTATTACAGCTCAGGTAAACCAGGGACATTTCTAAATGAATGTTTGTCCTTGCTGGGTCATTATACCAAATACTATGTTATATATACAAAAATAAACAGCATCAAAAAGTTTTAACATTCAAGTAACTTAAAAGGTATATTTCAATCATATATGATTTTCATCAAATGTCTGTGGCTATTTGGAAAAAGCAGGAGTATTGCTTTCTGAAAGGGTTTAGGCTGGCTACTGGTCATGTTGCCTCAGATGCTGTCTTTTCAAACAGACCGCCACCCACAGTACACCGTGTGGCATCATGCCACGGAGCCCTCGCCTCGAGCGTGGGGCGTGTACACAGGCCAAACACAAAGGAGACCTACGGGTGAGAGTGTCGGGCAGGGTAATACCTTCTTGTATTGGATTTCAAGGCGTTGGATTTCAAAACCCTCTCATGTATTTTTAACTCTACACGAGGAAATGAGAGACTGAATTAAGAATCAAATGAGACTTCAGCTCACTTCCCTTGGCTAGCACGTAATCACACATAACAAAAGCTTGAATTGTATTTTATTGATTCATATATTTGCCCAACCTCATGAACTGTTTTGAATTTCTTTCTGATTCACCCTTGTTCCCATTCTTCCTGTCTTTATTTTCTCTTCATGCTCCCTCCGTCTCTCAGTATCAGGCGGCTTCTCTTCAGGCAGCCCAAGGCCCACCTCAGCGCATGGCGGTATTGCATGTGACGGCTGTTAGACATTATTAACGGCTCAAGCAGAAAATCAAGATTGTTTTGTTTTTTTTTATTCTACTTTTATTATTGAAAAGAACAAAACTGGGGCCATTGCCCCATTGTTGTCAGCAGATTTGCGGTCAGTGACAATGCTGTATGCTTTTGAGTGTGTGTGTGAGTGTGGTAATGTTTGGGTTGGTGGGTGGTTTGAAGATGTGAATGTGTGTGTGTGAGTGCATCTTGCCATGCATTCCCTTGACACCCACTCCCCCACTGGGCCTGAGGCACCCTGTGGTTGACTGTAAGGCGTAGACAGGTGCATTGTTAACCCTCTAACGTCTGAATCCTTCCCTATTTGATCAAATGTGAACTTTATGTAGGAGATGAATTGCCTCGGTTTACATTGCTTTTATAGAACCAGCATATGCTCTTTCTTAGCTTGTGAGATGAATTTATAGAATCACAATGCTTTATTTGTCGGAGGACAGGTTAATGTGCAAGGTGCCTGTGCAAGGTTATATTTCTTCTGTTACGCTGCCATATTGTTAAAATATGAGATTCAGTTTGATTTGGCAATAATTCTGGACAGGGCTTTCTTTCTTTTCTTTCTACAATTTGTTCCTTACTTTGTATGTTCTGTACTCGGGGCCTTCCTTTCTCCAAATTATGGCAGAGTCCCCAATAAACTCAAATAAGAATCCTCAATGTGGTGGCTGTCACTGGAACAGTGGGCTGTAGTGACACATAGAGCCAAACAATGAGGTGCTCTACCAAATATATGCAGAGTTTTACCATTAAATTTACATGCAGTATGCCTCTCAAGGATGCATCAGCCTTTTTTTTGTGAGGAAACAAAGATTAGCATCAGGAATTCCATTTTAATAAGTCCCATAGGACCCACTAACCAGATGTCTAGTCTTCAGTCCAAAAAAATCGACTTGTTGCTGAGGTCTTTTGCATGTTTCTCTTGAACTCCTTCTGACACAGCTGAGAAAAAATAGAGACAAAGAACAAAGAAAAGATATATTGACTTCATCTGCTTTTGTCCCAAAATCACCTGTTTTACACATAAAACTCTTTGTATGTCTGTTCCCTGCAGTTCCTCAGCATTCCCAATTCTACTGAACATGTTGTCCATGTATCAGGGTAACCCCTCTCTGCCCACTTTGTTGAGCATTTTTCCACCTTTTAATTTTTTTTCCTGTCCTCTCCACCTGGCATGACCACTAGGCTACACTGCATCCTCTCTCTGATAGAGCCTGCGTCCTCAGGATGTGGGGCAAATGACTGGCGCCGCTGCAACAGATGTGTGTTTGTCTGCTGTTGTGCATGCATATTAGCTCATATTAGCTTTCTCTCCTTGCTATGAACGGTCACTGACCTACCCTCCAGTGACTGTGGGGGATGGGTCTGATTTGTTTTTAGCCAATGAAAGAGCACAGACGAGAGAGTCAGTGCAAAGCATCAGCGGGACGAGATGCACACTGTCACATGCAGTCATATACTTACTGGTGCATTGCAAGTAGACGCAAATACAGCCATCCACACGCACACACACACATACACATAAACACACATCTATTCGCATACAGATGCGCAACACAAGCACGTCACAGACACTCACGCATCTTGCCTCCCAGGAGGCCGTGGGGCCAGTGGGACAGAGCAAGCTTGAGAGTCTGGTTCATCTGTTTACATCTAATTATAGAAAGAAGACTATTTCTGCAACCACTGCTCCGGCTTTTTTTATATCCTTGAAAGAGAACAAGAGAAAGAAAAAGAGAGAAAAAAAAACTGACAGTTTTTTCCCACAATGGTGGGCAGTTATCTCATTCCCTCAGCAGTGGTACGGTCTGCTCTCGCTCAGTACAGTACAAGGGGAAAAAAGGGGGGGGGGGGGGGGGGGTCCTGTGTTGTAAACTCTCTCATTTTCATGTAACATGAATGTGCAAATTTACAAGATGCGAAAAGCAGCAAAACGAGGCAGTGTTCTATCTCCATTCGCCAGCCAGGGGACTGTGATCCTAAAAAAAAAAGAACAATGCATTTTCACCCGTCGCTTTTCACCCTGGCCCATGCTCTGACCCTGTACAGAGTGCTGTTCATCACAACAGTCACAACAAAAACAAAACAAAAGGAGGAAAGGGTTGATATTTTGGATAAAATATGTTCAGCTTCGAACAAAATAGGGCCAGCGTGGTAGTAAATCCTCGAGCTTGGTGGCTGATATCCAGCCGCGAAGCTGTTGTTGGCCCGGGGTGCCTGGAGGGGGGAAGCTGTCAGGGAGACGCTGACTTAGCGGTTTGGGGAGGCCAGGTGAGAGCCGGATCAGGACAGGGCTGGGCTTGTGAGTCTGGACCAGACAGGTTGCAGCTTCTTGCAGGTGCTTTCATAAAGAGCCCCCAAGGCCAAACACAGCCGGCTGGATGCAACCTGAGCCAGGTGCTGCCCATCCCCCTCCCTCACACATAAACTACCACACAATGGCGAAATGTGCCTGTTACACACACCCCTCTGCCACCACCAACTCCACACGCTTTATTCCGAGCCATGGCAGGTAAATTAATTGGCTCTGAGTATGTAACATAAATGCTGAGATAAAGGTGCACTGTCTGGCCGAAGTGTAGCGTGACGGCTGTGATGATAGCTCCATTGTGCAGATGTTAAGGGAGGGGGGGGGTGGTTTGCATCACAACCAGCAGGGCCTTTTCTGGTAGGCTGGGCAGCCTCTGATTAATAGAGGGGAATGCTTTGAAGTGACACCCAAATGCACCCGCTCACAGGCTAATGGCAATGCCACCACTATAGGGAGCGTTCACTCTTCCTCAGTCTCAGCACTATCTTGCCACCCACCCCTTAACACATTTGCCCTTTTTTCAGACAGCTTTTAGGAGCTCCGAGGCTCTCATTTCCTGATTCCAGCCTCATTTTCTTTTAGTGGCTCTTTTTGAGTGTTTTTATTGTTCTTAGAAGGCCTTTACTTAGAGAGTACCACAGCACAGGTGAACTGTGCACAGCTGAGAGACCCACGGGATTGATGTGGCACAAGTGGGACAAGTGGGCCGGGGACTATTCCCAGGATCCATTTTGATCTTCCATACTGACAGACGGGCTACAGCTGTGGATGTGCCTGTGTTAGTGAGTGTGTATGTAAGTGGGTGTATGAGTTTAAAAAGCCAGGGGGGCAGGGTTTTGTCTGTCAGCTGCTAGAGTAAAGTAAACTATTAGCGGTGGGAGAGGGCAGTGCTTCCAGTGAAGAATTAGAACCAGTTCTAATTGCAGTGAGGTTGGGCTATGATTACATGCTGGCTAATGCACTGACAGACCTCTTAGTTGGCTGGCTCTCAGAATGCTGCTGAAATGGCTGAATGCCTTTTGGTTATACAGCATAATGGAAGGGTGTATGTGTGTGTTTTCCATTTGTGAGAAGCTGCCTCTGTGTGTATATACATATATATGATGAAACTTTCTTTTACAATTTTTTTGCGTGTTTTGTCAGTTTTGTGTGTGTATTCTTGTATGATAATGGCACTCCACTTTATTCTTTTACTTTATTTATACTCAAGCTTTATTCTTGAGTGCCTGTCATTATTTGCAAGCAGAGGCAACTTTTCTTCCTAAATCAAAACTCAGCTGGCAACTCAACTGTGTGTTTTTGTGTGTTTGAGTTTTTGTTTCTAGATATATTTGTTAGATGGCTGGTGTGTGTGTGTGTGTGTGTGTGTGAGTGTGCATGCCCACGGGAAGCAGCAATCAAGCTGTGGGGTGGAGAGATTGTATAAGGAATGAGAGAGAAAACAGTAGCAGGCAGCTGAGAGGGCAGCATGTGGAGGTGGACGGCAGCGCTGATGCAGGTGCCTAATTCCACCACATCTTTTGGGACTTGAAATTCTAGAGATGTAAATCCACTTCCAGCTACATATTTGATTGGCCAAAATAGCTATAAAAGTAATAACAT